GGGGAAAACGGGAAAGAAAAAGTAGAAAATAATTGCATGCCATATGCATGCTTTTCGTGAAAGGCAAACGTTTGTTCCTGAAAATAAGAAAGAAAAAAGTGAGAATAAGGGAATTTTGATTAGTGGATGATGAATCATACGAAGTGGAATGAGATTCGAATCTTTTATGTAAAGTTTGGATCTCTATCTCAATATATAATATTTTTGATATATGAATTTTATTTTTCGTTTTCTAAATGCATCATTTCTACTTTTTCTTTTCTAAATTAAATTAAGTTGTTTTAGATTTGAATTAAATATATTCTGAGTCACTCTTGTGGTGTGAGTATATATATTCTTTTTAATTCAACAACACGTGGACGGAGATTCGAACCTRTAACTTTTTCATCGATATATACTAAATGACATAAAATAAATATGTATTAAAATTTTTTTTTCGAAATATCACAAAAGTGGTTTTTAATTGGTTTTATTCATGTAATTCTATAAGTTTGCAATTTATGTCACTTTTGTAAAAAAATTTAAACCTTATGCTATATATATATATCTCTCTCTTTTTTTTTCTGCTATTTTTGTAATTCTCTAAAAAAAAATCCATTTTTTAATAATCTTATTTTGGATATGGCAGTATGATAAGAGAATAATGGAGGACAATGCCTCTCAAAAAATAATTAGTCACGCCAACATGATCTAGTTCAATAGTTCGATGGTAATTGACATTTTTCTCTAATCAATAAGTCATGAGTTCGAATCCGATCTCACCTCCATCCTTGCTTGTTGTACTAAAAAAAATGATACTTTCATCAAATATAAGTATAGTTCAATAATAAATGATACCTACCTCAAAAAATTAAATAACTACAAGTAAGAAGTAAATGTTGAAGAATAATTACTATATTTAATTTTGATTGYATTGGTAATTTYTAAAAATGGACATTAAAATAAATAACATAATTAAATGAGATAGTTAAATCGAAGTTGGGTTAAATTTGATCCATATAATTCAGATAGAGTTTCGATTTAAATCCCAGTAGTTTGCTTTAGTTTCAATTTTAACCTTATGGCTTTAAAACTTTCAATTTGAGTTTGATGATTTGATTAAATTTCACAAATTGTTTATACTATTAGAAACCATATTAAATATTTGACATACTTTCTATTTACGTGAAAATTGGCTTGAWATATTAGCTAATTATATTGAGTTTAATATATGATTAAAAATAGAAATAGTAACTAAGTTTTGACGCGGGTTAAAAATTGTTTACAAACTATTTGTGAAGTTTTTTTTAGTACACTATCTGTGTGAGCTTGAATTATATGGGTCAAAATTAAAATTTTAAACTATATGCACTAAAATTTTAATTCAATATTAAAATTAAATGGAAATTTAGGACTAAATTGCAAATAAAAAGTTTAATGGCTACGAAACTGGATAGTCTGGACAGCTTTTACTTTCGGAATTGATTGAAACCAAAAGCAGCGCTGATTTGTCCACGTGGCACTTTATGAAGTACATCGAAATGTATGCAAATCATATAGATATCCAAAACCAATTATTGTAAAAACCTTCRACTAAACAAAAAAACAAAAAAG